GCATTTTCCTTTATACTATTTGCAGACAGACGTTTTAGGAAACAACAGACGTATTTGGTGGTGCATTATCGAGATCTCATGAGCAAATTTTTGGTCTATGTTTTATGACGAGCCAACGTTTTTCCACATCCGGTTGGGCTCTTAGGATATGTTTTTATTCATATTACAGTTTTTATTACAGGGTATCGTTTGTTCAAATGCGTCTGTTTCCCAATGTAAGAGAACAAAGGTTTGTAAGAAAGGAGCAGGAAAAAAAATTCATTGTTCGTGAAGTACGCAGGACATAACATTAACTTTCCAAATTAGTTCCATCTGACCTCACTTATTACTAAAATGTCTAGCTTATAATACTTCATTTCAACTATTATTTAGTATAATTTTCCTGCTTGGTAAAGGATTCTAACATTCCAAAATTCAATCTTCATTTTCCTTTTCATGTCAAAGGTCGTCAAAGGGTCGTCAACAGTTTGCCCGGCTTTTGCCTCGTTTCGTTTCTTTAATAATAGTAATATTTGAAAACAGTGGTTTGTTAGCCCAAAGGTCTCGAATGCCATAATAAGATCTTTTGGCCTAGGCATCGGCCGTTTGGCAGTGGTATGCAATATTTATGAGGTAAAGCACTTCTTCTCTATCCTCTCCATGATATAATATGGTTATCCTGCCCTATACTTGGTCGTCCTAACTGATCTGTGATAACAGATCCGTTCGATCAATGATCTTCGTGAAAGCTGAGTATTGGGCATTTATTCTACAAAGGCTGTATTTGACGCTTGTAGGTCCATTTCGAACCCCCCTCCCCGTCTTAAGTATACTTCACGTGAAATGTTAGCTAAAAAATATAATTTTGTTATTCATTTGACTTCCTAAAAATTTATTTTGCGTAAGAACAATCATTTTTATTGACTTGTAACTCAAAAAATATCGATGTTATAACACTTTTTGTATTTAAATTTTTTTATCCTAATTAAGTTACAAAATGCGTTATTAAAGTATTGTACGATAATTTCGGGACAGTAAATGTATATATTAGCGTTTGATAGTCGTGTAATATGAACTGCGATAAATGACATGAGTCTTTCTTCTGGACGCTCGCGTAGATTGAAACATACCAGGTGTAGAAGTTTGGAACCGGAATTTTTTTGTAAAAATTACACGTCTGTTGTTTGAAAATGATAAAAAAAATTTTATTCAAAATAATGTCCATTGCTATTTATACATTTTTCCCACCTCCCCGGCAGTTTATGAATGCCACGCCAAAAAAACATTTCTTCTTTTGAAGCGAACCAGCTATCGAGCCATTTTCGTACATTTTCATACGAATTGAAGCGTTGTTCAGCGAGAGCGTGTCTCATTGATGCGAATAGATGATAATCGAGCGGAGCCAAGTCTGGAGAATAAGCCGCATGCGTTAGTATTTCCCAACTGAACGCCTCGATCGTTTCCCTGACCCGTTTTGCTGTGTGTGATGGGGCATTATCATGGAGCAAAATGACTTTGTGTTGCTTTTTTCCATATTCCGGTCGTTTTTCACGCAATGCTTTGATTTAAATCGATCATTTGCTGTTGGTAGGGATCAGTGTTGACGGTTTCACCAGGTTTTAGCAGCTTATAATAGATTACACCCTTCTGATCCCACCAAACACAGAGCATTGTCTTCTTTCCAAAGCGATTTGGTCTTGCAGTGGATGTCGATGGTTCGCCTGGATTCACCCATGATTTCTGACGCTTAGGATTCTCCAAATATATCCATTTTTCATCACCTGTC